CAGGCCATCATAATCTTCGCCAAAATTATCCCCGACCCGGCCTAATGATCCATTATGTAGATGTGTGTGTGCTTGATTATTTTTACAACTGAAAGCAAATAAATTTTGATCTAAAGCTTTCGTGACTGCAGGGATTCATATTCTTGATTGTTTCGGTAAAGTCACGTAGATGGGAAATAATAAAATAATAAAAATCATCATCAGGTGTGATGATGATTGCTTGTGTTGCAGTCGAAACGTCGTGAGAATTTTATTGTTTATATATTTTTATTTTTTTATTTCTCTTCTATGTGACTTTACCGAAAGAACCAAGAATATGAAAGCAAATACTTTATTTCTCTCATTCCGTGGGATTTTCAAACTCAATATATTTTTTCAGTTGCGTTCTGCAAACGTGGAATTTGAAACACACTCTCTGCAATTCTTGCTCCAAAAATGGAGATGAAAATGCATTTCAAATTTGTATCAGCCAATATTCAGATATTGGTGTGTTCCATTCACAAGCTAATTGATATACATTGAACCGATTGTAGAATACGTAATTGGATGGATACAAATGTACCACAGTAACAGTCCATGTAATTTCCTGCTAAAAATACATTTAGGTGGTATTCATTCCCCGTTTAGAGCCTTGAGCCAGTGGTGGAAATACCACATTAATATGGTGAGGGCAAGGTGATAGTATGCATTTTACAAACCCCAGAGGGACCTGGAACTAACTCGATCGCCAACCGGGAATTGAACTCGCATGATTCCGATTGCGAGCCGCCCCTCTACGGCTGAGCCATCTGGCCGGTGAGTGTTCACATATGGGATGTTGTGATCCTTCGAGAGTGAGAGTGGAGAGCAGTGTCAGGGTTTGGCCGTCTTTCTCTCTCCCACACTCAGCAGAGCCCCCCGTGTCGCCCCGCGTCCTATCCAGGACACGCAGCGCGGCTGTTTCTCCAAGCTGAACCCGTGGATGGAGGCGCTTATTCACTTATCGGCAGCGACGGCTGCAAGTACCGCACATTTTTGGCAAAATGAACTCCTTTCAGGAGGAGCGTCACACATCCAAGGGACCGCTAAGCCCGACGGACAACCCATCCGTGCACTCGACATCACCCTGAGCAAAAACAAAATAAAGTAGGTCACGGAACGCTACCGGGGCGTGCGAGGCCAACTCCCACTGGGGCCAAACCACCCGAAACGGAGTGCTTTTTGTGCGTTGGAGATGCGCAGAGCTATTCATCCGTGCCTCGGCGCCGCACGCAAAGACACCAAAAAAAAACACAGCAGGAGCGGCGCATAATTGCAATCGTTCATCGACTGATCGAGAAGAGCCGCGGTCGAGGTGACGTTTCGATGCCGCCAACGGGAGCAAAACGTGCTTGTCCCGCTCGGGGCAAAACAAGTCGATCTCGCGGCGAGGTCAAGCGAGCCGTTCTCACCCGTCGCTTAGTGACAGGGGAGGGAGCAATTTAATGCCAATTTCGGCAACGAGTCCCCAGCCCCTTAAGAGATCGCGGTGCTTTGAGTTAGCAGCGCCACGCCACGTGGACGAAGCCTTCTTGGCTCATTTGGCAGCGAGGCGATCCCCTTGATTCGAGAGTTCCTGCTGCGCAACCCGGGACCCCACGCAGACGCGCAAGGCAGGAGGCAGGAGCGGAGTCTTTTCATGCGGGCCCATTAATTCCCAGGTGTCAGCACCGCTGACCTCATTTAAACCTGCCTGCCGTATCCATCGCACAGGGGTGATTGTTTAAAAATGCCGTGCATTGCAGAGATATGTGGAACCTTACATATTTTTCTTAAACTTAAATTCCATCTGAAACGGCGTATCCAAGGATGGATATTCGGTCGTTGTCATGTCATAGTACGGAGTTGACAACCAAGCCACCGTGCGGTGCCTGCAAGTTGAGTTAATTGAGCTCAACGTTGAGGCCCGTTGACTGGCCAGGTTGGAGTTAACCCATTCGCGACGTCGTGTCGCCGCACCAACCCCAAACCGGCCACAACCCGGCCTCGTCGGCTCCGCAAGCGCCAGGGGCCCTCTCGAGCACACGGCCACTCAAGGGCGAGCCGCGGATGGTTGAGCGTAATATCGTCAAAGGGCACACGAGATAAGGGACAGTTAGCTATAATAGCTCAGAGCCACCTCCCGTTTCCTTCCCCCGCAATTATTTCTGCGGCTCTGCGGCTGGCAACGGAGGCATTGCCTCGGTAGCTGTGTCGCCATGGAAATAGCTTCTCTCGGTGTGTTTTTTTTTCCATTCCAAAAATACCACCATCGGCCACGTAAGGCGTCTCAGTTGAGTTAAATAATGACGCTTGCAGAGGAAGTTGTGGAAATTGGACATTAACAGATGCTGTTCCATCGGCCATCATCCATCCTCCCAACCACCCTCCCACCCTCCTCCCTCACCGCTTCACCCGGTAAACTCTGCACCAGTTTCCTGCCCAATGCCACACGGCACGTTGTTGCAGCTGCGACCGACGGAAGACAGCCGGCGTCCGCCCACCGCTTTGCCGCGCCTGTAAAATGGCCGACTTGCAGGGCAACGTCCCACGCAACCCACGATGCAAAGGGGGGCTGGGTGTCGTCTTCTTCTTCCTTACGAAACAATATACCCTATCAAATGTAAGAATATTATCAGCTTCATAAAAAAATTCCCTCCACCTCGTAAAACAGGTGCCACAGTGAACTCGCTGTCGTACCCTTTATATGGCCTGGAGATATAAACATATTTAGATAGAATTTGCAATCCTTGTTGGGTGACCAATAGGACATTTTTAGGGCCTATGGCTCAATGATCAATGGACGCACATTTCAGTGAAAACGAGAGAGTAGAGCAGCTGATGTCCGAGCAGCCAGCCCCTCGCACCGTGCGGCATTGGGGTAACCATCTGGAGGTGCTGGTTAGCCTTTTTCAGAGGGAACATTGATTTCAGAACTTTTTTCCACTCATAAAAACAAAAAACACCTGATGTCACATCGAGCTTGGCGGGACGTGCAAACAACGTTGTGCCGTTTGGGAACATTAACCTCACGCGATTGGGTGAACGCACCATTAGCAATTTACGAGATAAAAAAAACTAAAATTATTCCAGCTCACCTATGACGCATTTTCTGTTATAAAGCGGATGGTGTGGCACCGGTAATGCAGCGTCCATCTGTTCACTCACTCAAAGCTTTTAAGGCCACCTCTGTGCGTCGCCTGGATTTGCAGCATCTCCAGTCGCTCCCGTTTGCTGCAAGCGCACAGAGCTGATGGACGAGGAGGGCCTTACTCCGAGTTGTAGCAGTTTATGTCCACCGTAACGTAACGGCGAGATGTTAACTACCTCACCTAGCATACAGGAGGTCGTGGGTTTCTATCCCAACTCTGACCCCTGCTGTATGTTTGGAGTTCGTGTGTTCTCCCTGTGGTCGCGTGGATTTTTTTCCCGTTTCCTCCGGGTTTCCCCCTCTACATTTATAGACGTGCGTTTCGAGTATTTTCTTGCTTTTGAAAAAGAGCTATGCTGCTCAGTGCGCGTTGCCTGTTAAATTTAAAATAGGTTAATAATCTGACATTGGGGTTGAGGTGAGGTAATTGGCAGCCCCACGGCATCGGGGGGGGGGGGTGGTCTTGAGGGTGCTGTATTCTAAAAAAAAATAACTAAAGGGTTCGCGCAAAAAAAATTGGTACAATGAAGCCATTGGCAGATTTTCCTCACGTTCGTATACGTCCATGGGCCCTGACGAAATATGCTTTTTGTTCGCGTCACTTCGGATGACGACACCCGAGCTGCGTGAACAACCTTCAATTGCCCACAAAGTGAACGATGCCAGAGTATTGCTTATGGAGCGTGCAATCACGGGCAGCCACCAACTGGGATGAGCCGTGTACACACAACGTGTACACACAACGTGTACACGCAACGTGTACACGCAACGTGTACACACAACTGTGTCGCTTTGACAGCCATCACCGCGACCAGGCAGCGAATTCTGCTCCGGCGCACGAACATGGGGTGGCGAAGCACAGTAGAAAATCGAATCGTTTTTCACTCTGGATAGCTTCACGATAAAAAAAATAGGTTTGGTCCAGAAAAGCTCCGATTAAAAAAATGACAATATTGGCAATTTAACGCTGGTTAGCGTTTAACATTGGTTTAAAGTTTATTTAACAATGTTTTGCGCCACCTCGCCCCCCACCCATCCAGTCCCCCATGAGTATTTATATTCTTCGCCTCCCCCCCCCCTAATACAAGGTCACTGCTACAGATTGGGGGTTGGGGCCAGGTCAGGGCGATGGGTTCACAGGTCACCATGACCTCCCCTACGGAGGCCATTTCCAGGAAACTCTCGACTGCCATTCCTGCGAGCACCTCGAGCAACACAGAGGAGCAGCGAAATCCCCGAGGGGAAATCCTTCGGCCTCTCGGTAACAATCAAGTGTCCATTGGTGACTCGCGCACGTGTTTCGATAGAACCACTCCGGCAGGCGCAGCACCCTTGACGTGGGGTATTTGATGGCAACGTTTCAACAGGAACTTCAATAATGAACACGTCTTGCGTTGTGTGTTTGGGAAATCGGTCTTCCCTTTTGCGATTCAGCGAGACATCAGGCTGAAAAATGCTCATGTAAGAAATTATTCCCTCGTTATTCAGCGAACTTGTGCTATCCGCGATTTTGGTTATCCACAAATCGCATCTGAATCTCTACGCAACCGCATTTAAACATGATGTAATACTTCTATATGAATCTTTATTTACTTCATGTTTATAACATATTACATTTTTTGTGTTATTATGGTAATTTATTGCAGGCAATTCATCAAAACATATTTCCCGTCGGCAAATAACCATTATCCATGACATTTGCTATTCACGAGCATCTCTGGAATGTATCCCTCGCGATAACGAGGGAATGCCGAATAGCATTTGAAATAAACCCGTGCGCATCTGGCGAATACGTGAAATCGCGTTCCTCTCAGCTGAAAAGCAATCACACATTCACGCGGAGGAAATACAGCATTGGTAAGGCTATTTATTGTGTATGTTTAATAACTTGAAGTCTGTTATTGGAAAAGGAAAGTACAGCAAAATTTAATATACACCGTATATATAAACGCACAACAAAATCAAGCCGAGCACAAGCTATGAACATACAAAAAACGTCTCGCAAATATTCGGATACTGCATCGATATTTTCTCCCTCGCGTGTTTTTTTTGTCTCTTAACGAAGATATATAAAGAACAAAACTCAAACAAAGGTGAGGAGGATCAACATTTACAAGTGAACCCTCGGGCCGGAAGGCCATGCTCAACAAACATCAGCGCGAGGTGACCAACAACTTTTAAACGTCAGCGAAGCTGCTCGCTTGCTCCCGCCGATGGAATGCAATCGATCACGAGTCCTGGTGGGGCTTTCCTCGTTAGGCACTTAGAATAAACAGCGCTGGTCTCGCCTCAAGATGGGGGGGAGCGGGGGCGGGGATTGCCTTTTGTGCTTTCACTGATTGTGTTTCCCGGAAACAGTTTTCTTCTGGAATGAAACCGTACCGAACGAGCCGCACTGGCCCCACCGTAAAAGAAGGGAGGGTGGGGGGACGGGGGTGGTCACTGTCACGTGGTGTCCTCAGCGTGACGCAGGAGGAGCAGAGCCCCGCCCCCCCCCCGGCCCACGCTCCACCTCCGCTATCGTGACGTCGTCTCCGCGCCACATTTGCTCGTGTGGCGAGATGCGACTAGACAAAGTTAAATGTTGGGGGGGGGGGGGTAATGCAAAACGGACTGGCGGCACTCCCCATCAGCGGAGGGGGGGGGGGGCACAACTGCAGGCAGCTCGGACGGAGACGCGACTGGTCCGAACGAGCGATCCCGTCACGAGCAGAGACGCGACGAGGTCCCTGCCTCCCGCATCGCGTCGTGATGATGAGAAATTAATGGCGATCACAAGTCGCGTCGCCGTCGCTTTCCGAAAGGCCCAGACCCACGGCGCGACGGCGATGAGAACCGGAACGACCACCCAGTATCGGATAAGCGCCGTGCAGGGAGCGCCAATATCTGTGCGCCATGATAAGGCCACCAGCCTCTGTCCCTCCTCGCTTCAAAACCGTTGGCCTTAACAAAAAGAAAACCCACGCACGCAAATGATTAAATGAAATCGCACTAACGTACGGATGGAGCTCGCTTAATATGAGTATGCTGCCATGACGGTGCTGTCGGGACGTTGTGCCGTTGCGACGCGACACCCCGCGTCTTCCCCAGGCCGGTGTAATGCCTCGCAGGAGTAGCCCTGCATCTATGTACACACACACACAATGCAGCAGCAGCAGCAGCATGAACATTAAGAGAGTTTTGGCGACTGCGCCCCTGCGCGGATCCATCAGTCGCAGGTCGCTTCCGTTAGTATTTTAATCTCGAGAAAAGATGGTCCAAAAAAAAACCCGGCTATCACTCAACCTTCGAGCACAACTCCCGCCGTTGGCTCGGCCAACCGGCGTGAGGGGTCAGGCTCCGCGACAGAGGTCAGGCTCCGCGAGCGACCGCGGGAGACTCCATCCCTCGCCGCGACCTTCGTTTTCCCTGCCGACCGACCGATTGACTCGAATCGCAAATCGGCAGGGCACCTAACAGGCGTCCCTTCCTCAACCTGCCGCGGACTCGACTGGCCAGTCGATGCCAAGGCTTTTTGATTCCTCTGCGCGGTTGAGACAACGTCGAGAGTCAAACGTGGGCATTGGCCGTAGGGGGCTGTGAGGGGGGGGGGAGCAGGGGGGCAGCGGCTTGCAAGCAGGCTGCCCTCTAGAGCACGGTGCTGATGTTATCGGATTCGTCGGGCGTCTTCTGCTTGCTCTGGAGGGACTTGAGGTACTCGAGGTGACGCCGCGTGTCCTCCTGGTTCTGCCTCACGTAGTACACCACGTACGAGATGACCATGGTGAACCAGCCGAACATCGTGACCAGCATGGCCACGTCCATGGTCCGGTGGTTGCACAGGTTGACCGTGTCAATCAGCTCCAGGACGGGCACGCCGCGGTACTGGTCCTGGGCGGCGGACTCGCACACCACCTGGCTGCCCATGTCCGCGCTCGTGTCCAGCCACCTCCTGATCTCCACGAAGAGCTCCTGCACAAGGGCACGGGGCGCACACACAACCACGCACATCGGTGATGAGCCAACGTTCAAGCCTTCTGCTGCGCCAAACTCCCTATCTGGAAGAGCTGCTGCAGTCGGGTTAGGCCAGTTTTCATTTGCCTTGGAAACATAGTGAAATGGGTGGCTCGGTATCTCGTCACACGCAAAGTATACCGGACATTTGTGAAAAATAACTTTGTAGTTTTTTTATTCCTCCAGTATAAATTAACATTCTGATTCTGACGTGATCTCCTGCTCAAGGGCATTGAGGCGGTGCTCATCAGCCTGTTTGCAATCCTAAGCCAGTCGGTGGAAATTCCGAGTGGCTTGCTACATTCACCTCAATGTTATAACAAACAAAGAAAAAACTGCCCCAGTGGCTGGATGGGTTGGTTTCCATTTGCCATGGAAGCACAATAAAACGTGCAAGTAAAAATTCAATTGCACAGGCTGCATCGATTACGCTGCTGAAGCTGAAGATGGAGAGGGTGAGGGACCTTCTGGGCATCTCCCCTGCCGAGTGAAGGCCGTTTATGAACTTGGGCTGGACTTAGGGTCGCTCACCTCTGGAGGTGCAAACACCCGGGACACATCATGGTAAGCAGAAGAACATCTCACAATACCCAGGACAGCTGCTGCCTCAACAAGAGGAAGATCCCGGGAAAACCAAGGTCAGGTGGCAGTCCACCTACTTTCCTATGATGCCAATATTGGATTTGTCTCCGGGTCCTCCGGTTTTCCCCTCCACATTTTGGAAAGACGCGTTTAGAGTATTTGTCTGCCACTATACATGTCCACGTGATAAGCCACTTTGTTGAGCTATCATTTCTGAAAAAGAGCTATACAATGTCCCTTCGTTATTTGCGAAGGATACATTCCGGATATGCTCGTGAACAGCAAATTTCGCAGATATAGACCTATGAATAGCCTTAAATGAACACGTACATAACCTATGAAATACATGGAAAATATAATACGACAAAATAATAACTGGTTAGAATAAACAAAGTAAATACAAATAATATGAAAGTATTAAATAACTAGCTTGTTTGCCCGTCCAAGGATGGGTGTGTATTGCAGTAAATATGAAATATTCAATAGAAAAATCGTTCAGCTCATGATTATTAATGAGGGGGGGTTAGCCCTATGTGGAGTGACGTCAACCGTTAATAGTTATTGTGGAGGGGTGCTGCATATTAATAAAGGGTGCGGGGGGGTCTCTTTTGCAGTGACTTCATGCACGGATGTAGCACTGTGCTGCGAAGATTAATTTTTTACCGTCACTTTCTGTAAAGAAACGTCATATTTGAAGCGACTTTGCGTAAAAAATAATTTAATTCAGCTCGACCTTCCTTTGCGTTAGTGTAAAAATGCACCCACTCATGAAAATTAACGAGGGGGTGGTGGGCCTCATGTGGAGTGACGTCACGCGGGGGTGGGCCTCGTGGAGTGACGTCACGCACGGGACACACATTCTTGGCTTATTATCGTAGTAATAGTCTATAAATTAACTTACATTAAATCATGAGGATGCTGTGCATCGTCACTTTATCTCATCGTTTTCTCTCATCACTTCTCTCTCGATGCTGTCGTGCAGAGTTCCAGATGCGATTCGAGCATAGTCAAAAATCGTGGATATCAAGTTCGTGAATAACGAGGGAATGGCTCTATAGCTCAGTGGGCCTTATCTGGTAAAATAAAAAAAATAGTTTCAGTTACAATATTATTCCTATAATTTGCACCAATTCTCTGTTCCACGTGACCCAAGTCTTGCAGTCTTTCAGTGTAACTCTCGGCATGCATCTCTCCATGCTGCTCTTTGTACCTCAGTGTTTGTACCAGTGTTCATATATTTTTGATTCGTGTGCCACAGCAGGTGCCGTACAATCTCTGAGAATGTCCTCACTTTAGGCAACGCTGGTACGTTATGTTTCATTACCAAGTTCAGTTTTCCAAACATCAACACCCAAACCACCTACTCTGATCCGTCTCTACGTTTCATTATTTTCATACTCAACTTTCTTCAGCCAATGCCCTAGGCATACAAACGTCGCTGCTGTTGTGTTGCAGTTGTGTTTCTCCAGCCATTATTTTTGCTTGTTTATATGACCTTCTTTGCCCGAGGTTTTGGTTTTGCTCGCATACACCTGGAACATTAGGAGCAGGCTTGTAGCGATGCTTTGATTAGCTTATTCTCAAGCTCAAGAGGCATGTATTGCATTGCACGCGTGAGAGAATGGGGGGGGAAACAGATTGCAAATTAAATGCGTAGTGCACAGCAATGTTAGATTTGGTCTATTGAAGAGAAGAAACGGTAGCAAATGACAGTGCACTTGAGCCGAATAATAAACAACTCTTCATTTGCAGCCAATGGTCGAATCGCTTCGTGAGAGTGAGTTACATTCCTGCGCGCTTTATTACAAGTGGCACCGTGCACATTACAAACGTTTATTCCATTTCCCATCATTATTATTGCTATTTATTCCATTTCCCATCATTATTATTGCTATTATTGAATTATTATGAGGCTAATGCGTGCTATATCCAACAGGCGAGGCAGCGTATTCACGTTGTGTAGCGGATCACGTGTGTTTCGTGCACACATTGTGGTTATTCAAACATACAAAGACCCCCCCCCCCCCCACCCCGTATGGCTTAAGCCAGTGGTTCTCAGAGTAGGGTCCCCGGTACCACCGGTGGGCCACTGAAGGTCCTCTAAGTGGCCTGCAGGGCTGTGATGCAAACCCAGGTTGGTCTGGAAATAATGCCAATCTTCGCAGACATTAATGAGCATTTTTCTTAAATTTAAACGGGTCATTTTTATTTTTTGTTGACCTTTATTCAACCAGGTACATACACACCCTTGAGATAAAAAAAAACTGTTTTGCGAGGGGGACCTGGCAAGAAGTCAGCAAAAAGATCGCGGGTACAAGGGGCCAAAATGAGGTTTCTCCACAAGGTTTGCCGGGCTCACCACTCTCCGTGATCGGGCGAGGAGCTCGGTAATCAGGGAGAGCCTCGGAGTCGCGACCCGCTGCTGCTCCTCCGGATCGAGAGGAGCCAGTTGAGGTGGTTCGGTCACCTGGCAAGGATGCCCCCCCCTGGTAGACTCCCCCCCGGAACTCTACCGGACACGTCCCACTTGGCGAAAACGCCGGGGCCACTCGGCTGGCCTGGGAAATTCCTGGGAATTCCCCAGGAAGAGCTAAAGTCTGTCGCCAGGGAAAGGGAGGTCTGGACCGCCCCACTCAACACGCTGCTGCCGCGACCCTCACTGGGACAAGCGGATTGAGAACCTGGATGTTAGTAAACTACCCTGATTAAACTACCCTAACCCTAATATCTAAATGCCCCACCCCCCCAAACCCTTTAAAAAAAACCTTTATAACTGCGTTTAAAAAATATATGTTTTCATATTTCGGTGATACGAATCATTTTGTATTCCTGGCATTCAGAGAGAAATGAATGCGATTGTTCACGCGGGGTGGGGGGCCGTGCTAGTTGGGTGGTACGCGGAAATGTTTGCATCGGCCGAGCGGTCCACGGAAACACTGCGGAAAAACAAACCGTTGGAGCGAGCACCTACGAAGAGGGCCTCGGCACACGAGGGGTTTGGATGGCCAACAGGATGCCCGCTCCCCTTTGTCTCTCGAGTGGCGACGTTTTAAACACCTCACCCAAGGCATTCATATAAAGCGGAGTTAACCCAGGGGAGGCCCAGAAAACCCAGTTCAGATAATCGTCACTTGTAATGGTGGCCGTGAGCAGGACTCAAACTCGGGCGGCCGGGTTTGTAGCACAGCGCGCTGACCCGCTGCACGCACGCACGCACGCGCGCGCATTCGCAGCCACACGCCGTTCGGGCGATGCGGCGAAGCGCAACTGCCGGCGTAGGGCGCCCCGCGAGATGCGTGCGAGTGGAAGCATGTCACGGGCGCGTCGAGGGGTTGTCCGGAGCCTCGGGCTCGGTGCAAACGAGGACAGGAAGGCGGAGCGGCTGGAGGGGGAGGGAAGCGCTGTGGGCTTTATGGGGGCGGTGGTGGGGGGGGGTGGGCGCACAGCCGGCACCGTTTCAGAGGCGATGAGCAGCTAAAAGTAATCGCGTTTATTTGACCCACATTCTCGCGTCGCTTGGCACGATCGTGACACACATTCGAGGCGAACGCCCGTGCGCCCGCAGCCAACGGAAGGACGGGGAGACGACGCGGAGACGAGATTTTTTCTCCCGCTGCCTGACATTTTGCCCACTGTGCTCCAAATACTGGCACGGTGTTAAACAAAGAGACACGCGGGCTACGATGCATACAACAGCCTGCCATTCAATTTCTATTTTATTTTCAAGAGTCAATAATAAAGATTACCGCATTAATACATTTTATTGGAAAGGGGGGGGGGAGGTATGAGGTCAGGTATCCTTAGCGATTTTCCGACGACGGAGCGATGGCTGGACGGAACGCACCAAGTCTACAATTGAAGTATCATCATTTTGACAAGACACTGCCAAATCTGCCCAGCCTCACATCACGTCTCAGGCGCCTCACTTCCTAATAATAAAAAAACACAAATATCACGCTGAGCAAAGTGGCGGTGTTACAACAACAAAAACTGGTAACGCTTAAAATGAACCGTTTATGCGTTTTGTCTTAGTGGCTAGAGAAGATAGTGTTAGAAAACGCAAAAGGCGCATGGAAAAACTTGTCAACCACAGCTCGGCATGGGGGTGATTGGGCATGGGAGGTGCCGCGCCAGACGCCGCTGGAGGTGGTGGTCGGGGGGGGGAGAAACGCGAGCGGGAAGAGGAGGGCCTCTCCTATCGGACATCGAGAGACGCGGAGGCACCAGGAGAAGAAACCATCCGGGGAGGGAGGTGGGGGGCGGGGGCAGGGGTGACCTAGAAAAACAAGTCAGCTTGGGCTGCAGATGGCCACTCGAGAGAGAGTGAAATGAACTCTCTTGTTTATCGCGAAGCATTCCTGATAGAGGAGAGGTGCAGCTCACCGAACATTGTTTGCTCAGCGAGCTGCATCTCTGGTCGGACAGGATGACGGAAAGGGCAGGTGTCGCGTGTTAAGCTGAGCTGGGTAAGGACAGGCCGCCGCCTATAGTTGCCATTGCTACAGACAACATCGGAAGGACCAAATCTCATTGAACAGGGGACACCCTATTTAGAGAACCTGGGACATTACCGAGCCTCAGTGAGGCGAGGATTGAATTCCGCATTTTTTAAAGAGCCGCAATCTGTTCAATATCCTCAAAGTGAGAGATGGCTGATTATGGAGGAGGGTGAATATATTCGTACGCCTGGCTCCTGCGGCCTGGGTGTCGCTTGTGAGTAAACGGGCTTGTGCAGGACACGTCCCAAGCAAGGATAATCGCCACTGGCCGAGACTAAAGATGAGACTAAGGGCAGAGTGGACTAACGACAGCCAGAGAACATTCCCAAAAGACATCCCCCGTGGAGACGGAGCAACAAGATAAGCTTGCGTCACTGGCGACGACTTGTGAAGACCTTGATCTAGCAGTGGATAGAACATGGCTCATCTCAATTATAATTATACACATTGTTGTTGTTATGATAATTATTCACGACCGTCGCAGTTTATTTTCCATAGCCCGTGTGATATTGGCAGGAGTTGCGTTCAGTTTCACGTGCGAGGGGGAGGTTTTGCAAAGTTGCGAAGTTGTGGAGGGGAGGTAATTAGCCGTGACCAAAATTCCAGAAGCCGGGGAATCAATCTGCGCGCTGTGCGCACGCCGCTGGGCCCGACCTGCTGGCGCCCTGACTCCAAGCGTGGTCCTCCCGTGTGGAGGTTGCCAAGCACCGGCTCTGGGCACCGCTAAGTCATCCAGGGCCCTCCAGCAATTCAATTAATCCCGGACCATTAAAGAGGGTTGCTGCTCCTGCTGCTTCATCAGGGAGCTACACACACGAGCGCGCCGCACGCATCCCGAAGCGCTGCCGTGCAAGTTTCTTGCATCTTTACGTGCGAGCCGTGTCACCAGCGTCAATAAAACGATGATCGACAAAAATGTTAAAAACCAACTCGATTAAAAAAAAACTGTTGTGAGATGGTCGGATTGGGCTCCGTGGGATAATGCCGACAAGGCTGTGATTCTCGAGTTTCAAATCCTGGAAACCACCTACACTTAACCTGGGCGCATGACTGGAGCGAGTTGATGTTCTCAGCATGGTCACCAAAGACTGCACCGAAAACTCCATTATTAAAATCGTTTTTTTTTTGTTATTTAATTCCGATTAGTTTTTCAGTTCTGTCACGTGATGAGCAGGGCACGAGAGAAGGTTTTCAACGTGGGTTGGATGAGGCCACTGTAGGGACCCTCAGAAGCAGTTTCTGTGACATCTCTCTCCTGGAGACCACTCTCGAACATGGGTTGACGGAACCCTCGTCTCGCGAGTGTTATCGAAATGGAAGCGTGTTCACCATCACGCGACAGGCCCCCGACAAGCCCACAGCGTGACCGAAACATAACGAGGGGGGGGGGGGGGAAACAAAACAAAACGGGAAAGCCATCACCACGTGACCAAGAAGGGCCATAATAGGTGACCCGTGTTCACAGCATCACGAAGACGAGTGTTCCATGGAGCACTTCCACACCATTCAGCCCCCCCCCTCCCCCTGCGACATCAAAGGGAATACCGCCGTTTGTTTGCCTCGTGAAATCCCATTGAACTTGACTCCCCACCTCCATCTCAAACACTCTGTTTTAATTGGTTCATGTATATTTTAGGGTGTGCCGACCGTACCCCGGTTTATTAATCGCTTCGGCTTCACCGTCGTCTCCATTATTAATCGGCAGCCTACATTTTTCACCGAGCGGGAGGTATCCACACCTGAGTCTCGTGAAGCCAAACTCTGCCCCGAGTGACTCCATTGTTGATGTTGCAATTGTCGTCCTATGCACCGAGATTCACGGTCAGGATTTTCCCAACGACGTGAGGACCGATGAATGAATACGTCTTGCCGGGAACGACGGCTCCAAAAAAACATCACACAACCAAAACAGCATCTTTGAAATCCTGGATTATGGCAGACTTTGCAGTCAGGATCTGTGCTTCACTGCCATGCCACACCGAGGCATGACACATATGCAGCGTCCTCGTGAAAGCAAAATACGCAGGAATACTAAAATACAACCCACCCAGTGAGAAATGAATATGCAGCGAAAGGTATGAATGTGATCATAGGATTGGGCCTTCCAAGCTCCTGTGCATTATACATGCCGTTTAACGACATCACATGACATGCAGGTACGATAACTAGATAACTAGCCTGAAACCTGCGGTCACGATTGCAACCTTTTGTGAGTATTCTCTTTTTTTTATTATTAATGCTCTTGTTTTCAGCCTGCACACACTCTCGTGTAACCGATGACTGAGTCGTGAATTAGTCATCGGTTACAGATGACTAAGCCAGGGATGGGAAATATTTTCGATGGTTGAAGAGAAGTTTTGAATGCCTTTGGCCGGCAACCGCGCATTAACTCTCACACATTCCACAATTAGTATCCAAGTATAATGCCAAAAAGATAAATAACGTGCCTGTCCACCAACCATAAAGAGGCCCTTGCAGTGACCGAGATAACTGGCTCTCACTAACATTAGAAACGCAGTGTGTAGTTGCCGGGTCTAGAGAATTCCTCTCTAGCGCTCGATTAGCGCTGCCCGAATGCTCGCGGTGGCGAATACCCATTCGGGAGGGCTATGAAGCCCAACTGCGAACAATCCCCACGCTCGGTATGGGTGCCAATTACGTCGGAGCAGGGCTTTTGTAAAGTGGCAGAACTCATGCGGCCAGCGGGCATTATGAAGCAAGCTCGCCCCCCCTCCGCCCACCACCACCGCAGCTTCCCTCCGCGCCCCAAGTTTGAGCTGAGGGTGGGCAAACCAGTGCCGGAGGAAACCAGACGCATGAGCGCACAGCATGCACGGACGCCCGGGCCTCAGACCTGCAGGTCGCAGTCGCAGTGCAGTGGGTTGCGGTGCAGCTTCGTCTTGGCCGTCAGCCCCCGAAAGGCGTCGCGCGGCAGCTCCTGCAGCCGGTTCTCCGACAGGTCCAGCAGCTGGAGGTGCTGGTTGGCGCCACGGAACGCGCCGTTGGCGAGCGCCTCGATGCGGTTGTGCGACAGGTCGAGCTGCTGCAGGCGCTGCAGGCTGCGGAAGGCGCCGTCGGGGACGACGGTGATCTGGTTGGAGTCGAGCTTGAGGATGGTCGTGTCGTTGGGCAGGTTCATGGGGATCTCCTTGAGGCTGCGGTTGCTGCACTGCACCAGGGTGTGGTCGTCCTGCTTGCCGCAGTCAGCACTCGTGCGGGCAGGAGGCGCCGCTCTGCGCGCAGAAGGCCACGAGCAGCATGACGTTGGGCAGCACCAGCGACGGCGACACGAGCAAGTTCTGGACGAGAATGGAGCCCACTCTCACCATCTCTTCGCGGCCTGTTGCTGTCGTAACGTCGGGGCGCTTCAGCGGCTCTGCGTTTCTCGACGATCGGAGCCCGCTTTTCTCTTGCATTTTACGGACATCGTTTCACGGAGTGGTTGTCCTGCAAGAGAGAGAAAGAGGACCGAAAGGGCCGCTGTTAAAATTCAAAGTCGCCGGCTGCTCTGGCACTTACTGAGACTGCACACAGAAGTCGAATAACCGATGCAGCACGAGGGGAATTGAGGCGAATTAGATAGTGCGTGGACAATTTTTGCTCGGTACTACGTTGCTCATTTTCCTCTGCTGGAACTCTTTGGTCCCGCCGGCCGTGCTGTCGGCTCCCTGCCCCATGTTTAAGGCCAAACTTCTCGGCTTTCCTTGTTTCCCCCTTGCCTATGACCGACTGCTTCTCCCTTTCTGAAATGAACACGTCCCACTGTCTCCGCGCGGCATCTCGAGATAGTTAGAACCTACGTAAATCCAAGTCGTCTTGTATTTGATCATCTTTTAATATATACATATCTTCTTTTTTATTATTCAAGAACCCAAAAACACAACACAGACACCCAAGAGGGAAACACGTTGTCCCTGATCGCGTGATGGTTCGGAGCAGTACTGCCCTCGAATAGGGGACACCTCCTGGAGGCACGTGGGGCTCACTTCCCTCCTACCACCGTAGGGGGCAACGGTCGGGGCAGCAGATTCGCAGGGGAAGTGGGGGGGAGGGAATAACCTAATTGAATAATTTTTAAGATGCATTCTAACGCTTTGCCTTAATGCTTTACCCTCCACACCTCACATTTAGATAAATCCACATTGTGTGGTACATATATATACGCTACAAGATCTGACCACTTACACATATCGACCGATATTATTTGCTGACGAGGGTACGAAACATTCATCCTGAGCAGTTTTGCACGGGTGACCCATGCAGGACCTTGGTGTAAAGTTACAGTAGCGAATAAATTATAGCATTGCAGACAACTGGATTGGAAACGCATTTGTGGAAGAAAACAACATGGAAGTCACACATCGCTCAGCTAACAAACACTGGCAGCAGGGGACACTGGAAACATCACACCGACTCGCGCGGGCTATCGCTCACCACGCGTGCAAGAGACGGGGAGAGATCTTAAACCAGGTCAGGAATTGTTTTTTTTTTAAGGCCAAAAGGAAGGGAGCAAGGGACGAAAACCCCGAAACCACGAAGCGAGCTCGTCCCAAGAGTGAGGGGCGACAACGCGAGGCGATGTCTCACCGTGGCCAGATATCACGCCAAAGACAATCATGAGAAGTGAACAGGAGCTCATATTAGATATTTTTTGGGTTAGATTGCATGCATATAAATGTGTCGTTAAACCCGCCACCGCCCGACACAGCCGAATGGTAAGGTTTGCCACGTAAACAAAACATGCCAATTTGTTAGTTGTTCAGCACACCGGGGTGTGTTGGAGAGTAAACAATTGTAAATGTTGAGGTGCGTTTACTCTCCCAACACACCGGTGTGCTCGACTAGTAACGAATTGGCACATTCTGTTTACGTGACAAACCTTACGAATTGGCCGTGTCGGGTGGTGGCGGGTTTCACGACACATTTACATTTAGACGCTCTAACCCAAAAAACCTCTATTATAGATAACATTGGTCGCAAAAGCCTACTGCGTGTTAATATAAACAGGTGCTGCTAAAGGCGATCTGATGAGGACTGCGAGTGCAAGGCAGTCAAAGGAGGCAATCAGCCGATTTGTTGTTGAGGATCTGGAGGATGAGCAATGCCCAATGACGCCTGCTTCCAAGTATCAGGGGGAGTGACGTTTAACGTTTTGAGAACAGATCTACGTATTTCTCTGCAGGTCTAAACCTCTAAGATTTGACTACGGAATCGAGTCACGCTGCCGCACGTGAAAACCGCCGGCCGCGGCCAACTCCTGCGACAGGCCTCGGTCACGTGATCCCTCATCCGCACCCTCCAGATTCGCACCGTTGGCCACGTACGATTGGAAAGAAGTTCAACACACGTACATACGTATGCACGCACACTCGGCGCTTGGTCGCGTGTATGGTCGCACTCGCCACCAATACCACGCGCAGTCAGTCAGCGCTCGTCATGCCGCCGTGTGCTGTTCGGCGTGACGTCCCGAAGGTTCGCTCCGCGTGCGGGGAGCTTCTCCAGGAATTCGGTTCCGGACAAAAGCTCCCAGCGCATGGAGCAAAACGTTCGACTTCGTGCCGAGCAAACGGGACGGCAGGTCTCACCCGAACACGTGCCTCCGATTAGCACCGTTGGCTACGTACGGGAGGAAAGAATTTCAACATGCAGTACATACATGAGCCAACGCCAGGGTCACCGCTCAATTTTGGAAGAAAAAAATTCAATTACAGGTCTGTGCACGAAAAACCAAGGAATAATACATGAATTAGAATACATTTAAATTAATTTGCTGCTTTGATTCAGTGCAAGAATTAGGGAGGTTGTGGCACGCTTTAATAACACTGGTCAACACACTTTCTCTGGCTTAAGGTATTCCATCGGTTCTAAGGTAATTTTGGGGTGCTGATTCCAAATCTGGCTTCATTTTTTGAGGTATCAAATATTGCATTTTCAATAAAAACTGCAGAAGAAAAATATTAAATAAATGTGGATATCTACATAAAATGATATTATAAAACACACTATCCTAAAAATACAGCACCATATTTTAACACTAAAGTAGTCATTGACTCACAACAACTTGCAATCATAAGTGACAGAGTTAATTTTGGGTAAAATCAATGAAAATGGAGTATGCCGATAGCATAAAAATGAGATGTGATAGAGCAAATCTGAGATCAGATTTGGAATCAGCACCCTGAAATTCGTCTAAAACAGCTGCAAAAGTCCAAGCCAAAAATTTTTTTTTGTTGACCAGTGTAATATACGTGTGCAATGCCAAGGCGTTCATATCGTTGAGCTGAGGACCCGCTAATTGGGAATCTTCGCAGCAAAGAAGTCGGGAGACTAAACGGAGGGTCTGAGAGGAGCGGGTTGTCAGGGATGGGTGTATGATGGAGAGTGGAAGTTTTACGGAGGCAATTAAAATAAATGATTTATAGTTTGGCCGAAGCCACGGATCAGTCACACGGCTGCCACACTTACAGACGAGAGGCTGGGGGGTGGTGGGGGGGGGCTTTTCACGTTTGTGTCAGGCCATATCAACGCGCAGCTGGGTTAATAAATCGTAACTAATGCTTCTGGAAATTAAAAAATACAGTCCACGGAAATGACGAGTGACCTACTGCTCAGCACATTCGGGCGAGCAAGGGTCGCGCGGTTGGTTTATAGAGCATGCTACATGGGTGCCACGGTGGCGAGATGTTAACTACCTTTCCTGGTATACAGGAGGGTGTAGATTAAATCCCAACCCTGACACCTGTATGTTTTGAGTTTGCATGTCTCTCTCCCTGTGGTCGCGTGGATTTTTCTCCCGGTCCTCCGGTTTTTCCCCCCACATTTAGAAAATTATATTTAGAGTATTTGGCTGCGATACATTTCCACATAAGCCACTTCCTTGAGCTAACATTTGTGGCCAGGTCACTTCTGAAAAAACTGCTTTCTAGCTCAGTGGGCTTTACCCGGTAAAATAAACAACAGTTCATAGTTTTAGTTTACGTCAGCGTTGACCTGCCCGACATAATATCCAAAGGGCACACTCCCGTGGAAGTACTTCAAAAGTGCTCCCACTTTATTCGGACAGCTCAATCCACATCGCGGGAAAATGTGCAGCCACAGCCAGGAGAGAATAAATACCTCTCCAGGAGTGCCACAATCAAGCCACAAGCAAAAAGGGCTCCTGCGGCAAATAGCGCAATAAATGTTGGGCCCACGGATGCCATCAGCGACTCTGGGGTGTTGTAAGCAAGAGGTGAAGACTGAACGACGGGGCAGGCCGTAACTTCTAAAAAAATCGGGCAAATCACCAACATCGCTGGCGCTCGCGGCAAAAAAAGAATGTTCCGGCTAAAAATTGCACAAAGGACGTCCGCGCCGCCCCCAAGTTTCTTGCCGGTGAGAAATCGAGAACCCTGTGGCGACGTTTGATCCGAGAAGTTTACGGAAGAGAATGTGTTCGATGCCATTCGCTGGCGATTCACTTCACGCGGCACTTCCATACAAACACCGCCGGTATGACACACGCACGTCGGGGATTGATTGAGCCAGGGCACAGGTTGTCGCAGTTGTGCTGCACGCACCTGGAAATGCTCCAGGTGCTGGGAGCTTTGTCGGGAACTAAAATCAGAATTGAGGTGTGTTCCTGAAGACGCTCCCAGCGCGTTGAGCGAAGCATCAGCTATATCCTTGCCAAACAATGCAACCCGAAAATGCGCCGAGGAACTAGAAGTTTCTCTCATTTATGTGAAAGCTGGAACTGAACAAAGGGCTCGTTTCGTCTTTACCGGTGCAAGGGGGAAAAAACTGGCCTGAATTTAATTTTACAGATAGAATCATGTGTCATCATCATCATCGTCGTCATCATCACGATCCATCGGCAGATAGCCCGTAGGCGTCCACTGCACATGTCGTCCTTTGTTTCCACTTTCCTCTGTCTTGTGCCAATATGCTCAGGTAGTGCCACACCTTTCTAGCACCAATCTCTATCTCGTGACATAATTAAGCCATTCTCTGTTAGGTCTTCCTCTCTTTCCGGCTCCTTCCATTTTCCCCGAGCAACAACAACAACAACACACTTTTAAATTGTCCTGTTGTTGTCCATCCTACTACACACGTGTGTCCAAATAGTTGACTTCTCATCACTTCCTGCATCATCAGGGTCTCCTGCTATCTATGGAACCACGCACGGTGTCAGCATCAAGGCTATATTTGCCAATCCTCTTGCTTTGCAGTGTTCATGATCCCCGCTGGAGGCGAGAGGGTATCCTCTCTGTAAACAAGCGGGTACGGCTCGGAGGGCTTCCCCCTCCCCCCTTAACCCCTCCCCCCCTACCGTAGATATTTAAGACGCGCATTAAATACCACTAGCTATAAATACCAGCTGTTGCTGTGGCAACGACAACAGGTGATTAAAACATCATCATCATGGCAGGGCGTGCTGGGTTTGTTCCTGGCGAGTAGCCGGGGGG